TCATCAGCCCGACAGACTGGAGCAGGCCGTCTGTCTGGGTTGGTCTGGGTGGTCTGGGTTGGGCCGAGTGGGCCGCTGTTCCAGCGTCACTATTGGTCCGCCGCCCTTTGAGTAACTGCAATTTCTGACATATTTCTACAAAGTGGAAGCTTTTTGCGGTTTCCGACGTCTGGATGGTGGCTGCTGGAGGCCCAAAATGGAGAACAGTATTAGGGGAAATGGGATAACTAGGATAACAGGAGCTATGTTAATACAGAAGATTCCAGGCCCGACCTCCGTCTTGTTGGCGCTGCCTGATTTGAATGCTCATCATAGCGCCAACGCCTTTTATTCTCTTCAACCCACCAGCGACACACTGCAGTAGCTTCTTCAATCCAGCTTGCGGTGCCTTCTCCATGCTTTCGATTCAGCTCAGATTGCAGAGTATCCATGTCAAGAGATATAATTGGATTATTCTCGTAAGGGTCCTGGTCTAAGTCTACGAAGCGCCACTCGTTTTCAGCACCAAGAGGAACGATTAGATGCCAAGAGGGGTGACGTGCATCACGGATGGATATCATTGTCCCACCGGGGTTTGTCACTGTGAATTGCCAATCTCCTTGACCAGTTTCTTCTGAATACTTCTTCAGGGGACGTAACAACGATTGACCCTCGAAATTCTTAAGCAGATCTTGTGCTGCCTTGCCAGCGGGTGTAGATATCGAGTCTGATTGTATGAGGAGATCCAGTATGGTTGGTAGAATTGCAACTGACGTGACTGCATCGTTTATTTCAGTTCGTGGGAGATCTGGATGCGAAAATATAAGCGGTACCTGATAGCTTATAGTGTGAGGGTTGTTATAAGTTGCCACACCTCCCTCAGCAACTGGCGTGCCGTGATCCCCTGTCACAACTACCAGCGTCTCATTTGCAACACCCTCTTCTTCCAAGATTTCGAGAATCTGTTTTAACCATCGGTCCTGGTATCTAATGCAATTTAGATAGTATGATAGGCTCTCTAGTTCGTGTGATCCCGCTAGGGGAATATATGACTCGGATTTCGGAATGCCCCAATCGTGATGCGTAGTGCTGGTTAAGTGAGAAAGAAAAACCCGCTCTTTAGTGTTTTCGGCTAACCGAAATGTATCGCGGATATATTCCTTAAGGGCCACTTCTGGTATACTAAAATAATTAGTTGCAGCTACCTTTTGTTTACCAAACTTTGCCTCATCGCTTTGTAAGTATTCCCGTGTAATAACGTTTTCTTTCGTGTAGCCCATAGACGCCATCAGCGGCTCCTGGTAGTCGAATGTGCCCACTGCAGACTGCATAAACTTAGATTGCCATGGGAAGGAGGTAAAATCTTCGTCATTGTGACGCGTATCAAGCGTTAGAGTGCTCAAGGCCTGCAGAATATGCGGCAGGCAAGGCTGGTAGAAGTGACTCTTAAATTCAACATTGAAATCTATGGCTGCAGGCACCAGTCCGCATAAGACGGCAGCCACACTTTTAAGTGTGTAGCCGCTTCCGGTATGGGCATTGTTCGCGATTAGTCCGCCACGGATCTTGTGCTCTCTGTGACCAAACCCGTCGTCGTAGTCACCCGTTATATAGTTGGCGGTAGTTGTAAGACTGGTAAGCATTTTCTCAGCCTCGTCCGGTATGGTCTTGTTCTCAAACGAGTTTGCCAGTGCATTCCAAATAAATCCGCCCTTCTTTAATGGGAAGACATCCCTCCTTGTTGATTCTAACACAAGAAATACGATGTGACGAATGCTGATATCTTTAAGCCTGCCATGTAAACTTGAAATTACGTCTTCGTCCAAGTTGGAAATCTTCAACGGATCTGCTGCCGCGTCGTAATGCTTCTTGTCTGATTCATACCAGTCTTCAAATCCCGGAAGGGGGTAGTCTTTTGGGAGCCACGGAAGAGGTATCGGGTCAGCCAGGGCTGTGATATTATCCCACGAATCAGCCAAAACTCCAGAGAATTGCAAACTGATTAGACCGGGCTTTTGAATCATGTTGGCAATTGGAAGTAGCGGCAATGTCCATGACAAACTGACTATTGAGTTTCGAGCTGGCCGAAAGATAGTTGAGGCAACTAAGATAAGTAATCCTATGCATGCAATAATATGTCGTCTGCCATGCCGCTTCTTTGTTTCGAGTTGGGGTTTGTCAGGCACCTCCGTACTGTGTTCGTTTTCCAGCAGGCTGGCCAATGCAGCTTTCTCTATATCCGGATTTCCATCGTCTTGCACAAGACATTTAATGCTGTTTAGGTGACTTCGGAATAGCTGTGTGTCTCTAACCAAAAGTATGGGCCATTGCAAAACGTCCAGAGCGGTTGTAACAATGGAATACGAAACGTTTATCAATCCCCTTGCCGCAATGAGCAGAAATGCCGTAACCATAGTGAAAGAAAAAAGGCCACTAGGCAACATCGGCCACCAAGATGGGTCTAATACAACCGGAATGTTACGCCATTGGATATCTGAACCTAACATGAGGTAGAATGATATACTCATTGCCGCCAAGTTCAGCATGGCCAAGGCAATGAAAAGGCTTACTGGCCTTGTCAAGCGACCAAGTCGCGATATTTGTCGGCAATCGAGTAGCAGTCGATATGCAAGCAGCAGTGCCACATCTTGATAAAACAGAGACGGAGCCCATGCTATTGTTGTTACTGGGCGAATTGATTCCAAATGTGAAGATAGTCGAGCCAATTTGGAGCTGAATACGGCCGTGAACACTATAGAGAGCGCGAGCTTCGGTGTTGGTAGGTGCCAGTATCTTGACCTTACCCTTTCCCTGGGCGAGACTTTATAGAAGTATTGCCTACATCGTGCCATCCACCTAACGACGCGATGATGAATACTTTTCCATGTCCCGTCAAGTAGCGGTGCTTTCATATTTGATGACAGGTTATCGAGGATGTATGAGCGCCAATCTGGTCATTTGTAGTCAAAGAATCATAAAAAGGGGGAGCAATGTTCTAGGCAGGGTAATGGATTCTTAAGAGCCGAGACTAAACGTATTAGCATATAGGGCAGAAATGGCTATCTGATCTTTGGGTATGAGAAATGAATTTTGAATGCGATATCTATAGGTTCTACACGCTCATCAGGCCATATCGATGTCTTCACTGTTTTGTATCCAGGGCCATGATCAAAGTACTGACACGTATGCCTGAATAAGTGATAGCAGGGTTTCCAATTGCCACTCCATTTCCAAGAGCCTAATGCCCCTTTCTCCACAAGAAATGTCAAGGTTAAGCAGGGTGGCGATCAACTCAACCTGGGGTGTCGATTGAGTGAGCTTGGACGGTTTTAGTTGGAATAATGAAAGGCCTATGACCATGGATATGAGGCATAATTTCAGGAGTTGGAACTATGGCTATGTGTTATAAATACGGTGGCACCAAATTACGGCGAAAGTTCTATGTTTCAAACTAGATTTGATTGATTGTTGTTCTCCTCTAAAACTAGAATAGTTTCATCACAGATAAGACTTTGGTCAGAAGTACAGGCGGATACTGTCACAAAAGGCGTCACTGTGAAAATTGAATGGGTGTGTAGGAATTATCCTAGTGTCTTCATTGATTTCTGCTCTGATGTGATTCTTGTCCTTCTTGTCTCCCTTCTGGACCCACTTAAGCGTGTCGCAAGTGACACGCCCTGTCAGATTGTGGCGTCGTGGGCTGATAAACCGCACTGTGCACAGCCTGCACCTGATGCTTGGGCGGCAGCATTACAAAAGTCTTTTAGTTTGGGATGATTTAAGTCTTGAAGAATCAACTCAACAATAATCTTTTAAACATAGAGTAGAATTCTCTCCGTGATACTGTAGTGCCATCGTATTTCTAACACCTAAGCCATAGTATGAATTTGCGCGCATTGACTACCAATCTAACAGGTGTTATGCAAACCCAGTTGTGTAACATACTCAGTTACTACTGCATGCAAACTAGGAATACCAAATTGTCGCAGGCACTACCAGGCATGTGTAGGCGACTCTCTAAGACTTGAACTTGTTGCACAATTATATTTGGAAAAACCCGCGCAGTGTTGGTTAAGTGCATACAGGGGTGTATCGCATTCGACACGCCCAACTGCAGCATAATGGAGAGAAAACACATAGACAGAATAAGAAGAAGGGACAGAAAGACAGAGAACAATAAATATATTAGGCTTTTGCCTAAGTACACACCCCATTCAATTTTACAGTGAGGCCTTTTGCGAGAGTATCCACACCGTACTTCCGACACATATGCGTGGGGGAAAGCGCAGCAGGGGAAAAACCCTTGGAAGGAATCCGAGGCGGTCGAGCAGCTTGCCTTTGTTGAACGTCACAGCGGAAC